CAGCGCGCAGGCGCACAGGGCCAGGGCCAGCGCTAGGCCCGGGCCCACGCCGGGCCGCAGAAGCCGGGGGCACCGCATCTGGCCTGGGTCCGCAGGTCCTGCGGAGAACAGTGCCTGTCGCATGGTGTCCCTCGGCAAACTCCTATGCCCCCCTAAGCCCATCCCCACTCCCCCACGAACTCCTACGCGACCCTCAATGCCCCAGCTGCAATGCCCCTCGCACGGGCGGGCCCAGAATTTCCTGGCTGGAGTGGAGGTCGGGGAGGGGCCGTGTCCCACCGCTGGAGGGAACATGTCACACCGCTGTTGGCGTTCCGGGGGATCAGGTTGGGGTACCGGCCTGGCCACTCACCTCAGGAGGCCTGGGGTCTGGGTCCCACCTGTCCTCCGTCCCCTCGTGGCACCCAGCGTGCTGTGGGGATGGACAGTGAGTCCAGTGTGGACCCATGCTCACCCGGGGAAATGGGGTACAGTGGGGTCCAGGGGCCCCTGGCTGCAGTGTGGGCTGTGGCGCAGGCCTTCCGCCGGCCAGGCGGGGCTGCCCGGGGCTGTCCACCCTTCCTCAGGTCCGCTGCTGCCCGATCTGTTGATTTCCTCCAGGAAAAGCCTCATTTCTTTTGCTGGCCGGGGCCCAGGAGCCTCCCCAGGCGCAGGTGGCGACGCCCTGGCCCCGACCCTCACCCCATTCCTCTCCAGCTCCAGGCCCCTGCCCAGCCCGCCGGGCCGCGCCCGCTGGGGCGCCGGGCGGGGCCTGAGGTTGGGAGGCCCCTGCGGCCGGCTGAGGACGGTGGGGGACCCCAGGCAGCGCCGGACGCGGCTCCGCCGGATGAACGGGACGTTCGGGCTTCAACAGGAACGCCAGCAACACGCGGAACCTTCTAGACCTGCCTCGGTGGCCCTTAATGACCCTGTGAATATTCATGAGCCCAAGGCCGCCGCCTTCTGGGCCCCAACGGGCCCCTGGGGCACTGGCTTCAGCCCCGAACATTCCGGAGCCATCCGACCTTCTGCCAAGTCAGGGGCTCACCCTGCGGGGCCCCATCCGGGTCTCCGGACGGCTGGGAGAGAACAGGGCAGGGTCCAGGCCTCGAGGGGCCGCTCCGGGGCGCCGGCGCCTCGCCCGCGGGGCCTCAGGACGGTTGCAGGGTGGGTCGCTTTACGAGGGCCCGAAGGCTGCGGGCTCCATAAACCCGCTGAGGGCAGGCGCGGGAGGGCCGCGGCCCCGCCCTGCAGACCTGCTTCCTGCTCCTTGGGCAGCATTTCCGCGTGGATGCTGTGGGCCGGCCCCGCCCCTCCTGCAAGCCCCGCCCTCCCACCTGCAAGCCCCGCCCCATCTGCAAGGCCCCGCCCCCAGGGTCCTGGCCTGTCAGCAGATCCCACTCCGCCTCCATCGCAGGCCCCGCCCCTCCTGCAAGCCCCGCCCTCCCACCTGCAAGCCCCGCCCCCAGGGTTCTGGCCTGTCAGCAGATCCCACTCCGCCCCCATCGCAGGCCCCGCCCCCAGGCAGCTGGACTGTCGGTAGGCCCCGCCCCCACCTGCAGGGCCACGCCCCTCCACGGCTCCGCCCCCACATGTCCCACCGCAGCCAGCAGGCTCCGGCCTCTGCAGCCTCCTCCGGCAGGCCTCCTTCCCCGCCCCTTCCTCGACCTCCCCCTTCCGTCCCCCCCC